TTGTGGTATGCAGGCCGCTCACTGTTGTGGCCTCTCCCGTTGCAGAGCACAGGCTCCAGACGCGCAGGCTCAGCGGCCATGGCTCACGGGCCCAGCCGCTCTGAGGCATGTGGGATCTTCCCGGACCGGGGCACGAACCCGTGTCCCCTGCATCGGCAGGCAGACTGTCACCCACTGCGCCACCAGGGAAGCCCCTCTTTTTTTTTTTTTAATTTAATTTATTTATTTTTGGCTGCTGGGTCTTCATTGCTGCATGTGGGCTTTCTCTGGTTGTGGCGAGTGGAAGCTACTCTTTGTTGTGTTGCAGGCTTCTCATTGTGGTGGCTTGTCTTGTTGCAGAGCACGGGCTCTAGGCGTGTGGGCTTCAGTAGTTGTGGTACATGGGCTCAGTAGTTGTGGCACACGGGCTTAGATACTCCGTGGCATGTGGGATCTCCCCGGACCAGGACTCGAACCCATGTCCCCTGCATTGGCAGGTGGATTCTTAACCACTGTGCCACCAGGGAAGCCCCCACATCCTTCCTTTTCCTCCTCCCCCTCCCAGGTCCTACCACCTCCCCCGCTTCTCCCTCCTCCTCTCCATGGAGCTCATTGACCACACCCAATAGAGCACTAGGGTCAATTTCCAGTTTGCTCACAAACTCTGAAATCCAGCGGAGCTGAGGTTTCCTGCCATGTTACATCTTGTCTAAAGCAAGGGTGGGGCAAGATCCCTTCAGAGAGCAAGGATTTTTGTCACCTCTGACACGTCTCCTCAAGAGTCCAGGAACCTGCTTCTTTCTACAGTTATAGGAGCAGGAGACGTCTTAATGAAATTTCAGTCACTGCCAGTAAAAATGAAACTGCAACGTGGCCTGGCACTAAGTTCCTCCAGCCCTTGAGTCCTCAGCCTCAAGTAGTACGGCCTCCAGTCCCGTACTACTGGCCCACAGCAGTCAACCCATGGTCTCCAGTTCTGACCTGAGTGGCCTTTCTGGGTCTCCCTCTTCCGCTCTCCAGATAAGGGGCGGTATCTTACTGTGCTGTAGGATGGAGCATCCCCGGGCTGTGATTTACCAGAGCAGGCTTCCTGGACAGCAGCATCAGCATCACCAGAACTCCTTATAAATTCAGATTCCCGGAGCCTCAGACCCACTGAGTCAGAGGCTAGAGGCCACTGCCCAGGCTCACCAAGCGCCCATGGTGATGCAGATGCTCCCTGTCAGCCAACCGCTAGAGCCTCCCTGGGAAGCCGAAGCAGAGACTACGATGTAGCTGAGAGAGGCTCGAACGGGTTGGCGTGGGGATGGGGTTATCAAAGAGCTCCCGGTAGCTGGGAGAAGCACAGGGATGAGGGATTGGGATGGGGGTTGGGGGGTGCGCCTAACAGCTCCCAGAACCCCCAATCCGTCCCCACTCACTGCCGGTAGGGGTCGTGGAAGGGCAGCGCCAGCCAGGCGCCGTGCAGCTCCCGCATGAAGTCCAGCATCTCCTGAGCGCTGCCGTCGGCGGACACGAAGACCACCTCGAAGGGCCCGGAGGGCCGCGCCTGGTCCACTAGCTCCGCGTAGAAGTCGCAGATCAGCGGCGTGAAATCGCGGCTGGGCGCGCACCGGCCCGTGGAGAAGTACAGAGCCACCACCTTGTTCTGCAGCGCCGCCTCGGCCTCCACCCACGTGCCGTCTTAGGTCACCAGGCTCCGCCCGCCTAGCACGTTCACCATGGCCGGGAGCCTGGACAGCTGCGGCGGGAGGACACCAGCCGGGAGACGCGGGAAGGTGAGTCGGAGCGCACGGACACCTGCGGCAAAACGAGGCGGAGGAGGGGCTGCAGTAAGCGCAGGTGGCTGATCACCTGCAGGCGGACGGTCACCTGCGGTCACCGTCCACCTGCAGCCAGCCGAAGGGACCGGCTAGGTCCCTTCGCACAGCCGGGCACCCGGACCTCGGCACGGGCCTGAGCCTCGGCCTCCGGCAGGAGTAACAGCGTCCGTACTGGGGAGAGGGGTGTACATTCACAGACAGCCGCGACCCCAGACGCAGCGGCTGCAGCAGCGGCACACACAGCACCCGCCTCCAGGGAGCCGAGGGGCCCCGCCCCCGACCCTCCTGCCCCCGCGTCCCGCCCCAAAGCCCTCCTCTGCAGCCCCCTTCACCTCCCACCCACCTGCGCAGCTCTCGGTCGTGCGCGGCAAGCCTTCTCCGCGCTCCCGGCGACGCACTCTTCTCCCCCCTCTCCCATGCCCTCCCCCTCTGCTCCTCCCCTGAGCCCCGCCTGTCGCACCCTCGCCCCAGGTCCCGCTGGCGCTCGCCCCACCCCGCGATCGGTCGCTCCCCGCCTGCCCCAGGGGTCCCGGCGACCCGCGCGGGAGGGTAAGAGCGGTTCCACCTTTAGTGGGTAGGGACCCGGCGTTGGGGACACCCTGTTCTTTCCTGGGGTTTGCCCCGAAGTACTGCTCGGACCGCGAGGGTCCCTGCAAGAAACTGGAGGCGGTTCTTAAAGAATGTTTTATTCCGAGAACCAGAGTATTACTGTGCCCGGCACTGGGATTCAACAGCGAGCAAAAAAGTTTCAACTCCCTGCGCGGAATGGGTGAGGCACTCGCGCGGGGCGAGTGAATTCAAGGGAGAATTCAAGGGAGTTAGCGCCAAAAAACTCAGTGACCAAGATAAATAGTATTCTGATGCAATATTTTAAGTTTTCAAAATTAATGCAAAAAAAAAAAAGTTAGTGGTGAACAAAACATCAGATATGCGAGTAAGGACAGGATCCCACCCTGCCCTTGGACGCCGACCGCGCTCCTCTCGCCCTGAGTCCCGGCCCGCGCCCTGCCTCGCGGAGTTTATATTCCCGTGGGGACAAGAGAAAAGCAAAGGTGAATGAGGAAAATAGAGTGCGTGCGATGGAGAGAGAAGGGAAGGGAAGCGGCGCGAAATGAATGAGCGACGGTGAAGGAGGGGTCGCGGGCAGAAGAGACGCGAGCTCCCTCCCAGCCGCTCGCTGTTCCCGGTTCTCTGCGCCACCCTCCCCCAACCCCGCTTCCCAGTGAAATGGGACGAAAATGCGCAGACACTGTTCGCTACTAGCCAGGGTTAAGGGAAATTCTGTCGGAGGACTGATGCTGTTCCATGAAGCGCGCTGCCAAAGCCTTGATTCACTGTCCTCTTGGAAGACTCAGGGGAATTTACAGGCGCATCGGAGGAAAAACAAATTTTTTTTTGAGAGGAACTAGGAGAACTATAAATCTTGCATATAGAGGTGCCTGACTTTTCTTAAAACTCAGAACTAAGATGAATGTAGCTAAACTCTAAATATCATGAAAACTATTTTGTGATGTTTGGCGTTTCTTCTTTTATCACCACAGTGAGGTAAGTAGAGAACATTCATTTTAGTAACGGTGCCACCGCCCACCAAGAAATTCCCAATTATTCGTATAAATACTGTGTGCCCTCAGAGTGCTGGGGGAGGGGTGGATGTCCCTGTCTGAGAGAACAGCCCACTCAGGTACCATGGTGAAGTGGGGACAGCCCTCCAGGAAAGAGGATCCTGGGGAGAACAGTGCACCAGCACCCCTCCTCACCTAGGGACCCTCCTCCTGTGGCTGCTCTGAGTGTGTGTGTGTGTGTGTGTGTGTGTGTGCGCGCGCGTGTGTAAGCAGGGGACCCTGCTCTCAAGAGCCTTCCTCATGAGGGACACAGGCACAGCTCAGCTCATCCTCCAGTTCTGCGTCTAATGGGTGTTCTCAACCAGTCTAGGAAGGGACTTCCCAGGACCCTTCCTGAAGCACGATCTTGTGTCATTCGCTACTGACCCCATCCCACTGGCTGGTCTTTAAGGTGGAAGGGGGCTGCAGGTGCCATGAAAGGAAGCCCAGGACCCTCTCCTTGCCTCTTCTGGAACCAAGTCTCCTACACATGTTCCTCCACTGAGCACAGGAGCAACCACAAATGGAGTCCTGGAAACTAGATTAGGTGACTCCTAACCCCAGCTGGGCTGTGCCACATCAGTTCATAGCCAACTTCCTTCCAGGGCATCAAAGAGTGCCTGGATTGCTAGCATCTGCTAATCAGTCTTATGTGTCCTGGATAGTCTCCACGGAGCCAGGCAGCATTCTTACTGCTGATGCTTGAGAGCAGCCCCATGAGGGCTTCCTCACACCTGCCCTCCCTCCCCAGCCCCATCTCCCTGACCCCTGCCACTATAAAAATAGTTTGCTACTTACATACTCTACCCTATCATCCATTTCCCACCTGAATTTAAGGGCAATCTTTTCTGCATTTTCTCCTGTCTGATAGCTTCGGTTCTGTTAAAGACACTCCTTGATCGATCTTTAGACAGGCTCCTCTGAACCCTCTTCTCTACCAGGCCTCATCCTTCTGATAGGGATAGAGTAGGATAATCAAATAGCTAGTTTAAAAATCCCACTGAGGGATTATAGATAGAGAGGGAAATTTAGGGGGCTTTGGGAGAACATTGTAAATTAATGATCACTCAAGAAAGCAATCAGAAAATCGTGAAACAAAGCAGGCTTGCTTAATAATGAAACTAACAACAAAACTATACATCAAGTCAATGAGGCCTGCATCCTGCTGGTTGAGGTTAGTAAATTAAGACCCCTAGGACATGCTCCTCTGTGTGCACTAAAATGTAGGGGAAAGGTGACATACCAAAGTAGAAGACCCTCATTATACTGAAACCTGAGATGATTTACCATATTTTAGCATATGTTACCACCCTTCTGCTGATTCGAATAGCACCGTGACAGTCCTGGTTTGACTATGTAGAGACCAAAAAACTACCCCGCCCAATGTAGAGGAGGAGCTGATTATGGAAGTTTGAGGTATACTCAAGAAAGAGGAATAACGTGGTCTTCTCCCCCTCCCTACTTTTCCTTTGATTATAAAAATATAGCCCGCTAAGTTCTCCGGGCAGAGCCCTCTTGCCTGCCCGCTTGTATCCTTCACAAGCGTCCTATACAAATAAATCACTTATCTATCACTTTGCCTCTCACTGAATTCTTTCCATGCTAACACATAAACTGAGCTCCACCAAGCCCTGAGACGTGTTCTGTGGTTTCACTTGGGGCCCATCCTCAGCCTGCCTCAGCAGTCTTAGCAAAGAATCCTGCTAAGTCATCCCTCACCCGTGAACTGACCACTCTAGCCTGCCTTCAGCAAGACTCCTAAGTAGGTTTAGCAAGAATACCTCACCCTTGATGTCTCCTCTCAGTAATTTTCCATTCGATGATGCCTCAACCCCCCTTTCTTGGCCATAAATCCCCACTTGTCCTTGCCTTTGGAATTGAGTTTAACTCTTTCCCCTATTGCAGTAGTATTGAATAAAATCTTAGTTGCCTTTAACTAGTGTCTGGCTCTATTTCTTTTGGAACAGTTATCAACGGCTGTGACATCTCGGTTTGCTTATAACCATGATATCGACTGAAAGGCAGAACGTTTCCAGAGCTAACTACTGGTTGGCTGGGTACATGGGGTCTTCAAATTCTCTCTGGGGAGAAACTCTACAGTAAAATCATGACTCTACATTTCTGTGTTCAGCATGCATGCTCCCCCCACTTCTGAATGAGACTATTTCTCATTACGGAAATTCCTTTTCTAAGCAGGAATATTTGAGAAGTTCCCATCAGTGCACCTCTGCTCAGTCCTGCCTTTTGTTGACACACTGGATTGCTTCTCCACACCAAAAGAGGAGCATGTGCAAAACATGGGACCTTAGGCTACTTGACATAAAGTTGACTTTTTCTTTTCACTGACAAAATGTATAAACAATGATTCATTTCTGTCTACTAACAGTTATGAATATACAAATAGAACTATGGAAATAGTTTCTGCTCTGATCAGCATAGCAAACAAATTAGATATCTCAGTGTGCAAATATTACATTTTAAATTCCCTGGCTTTAAATATTCATGCTTATGTTATTTATTTCCTGTATTTAAATATGTGTTATTAGGGATTGGTATCATGAGGTTTTCATGACTCGTTTTCAAAAGAGAGGTTGGCCCATTGCAGGGAAGGGACATTGAAGTGACAAACAGAAGCCTGGGTTTGTCAGTGATGAGCCGTGGGGCCATGGGCAAGTCATCCTCAGTGGGCGCTGGCTTCTCAGAGAGGACTTAACATTTAGCAGTCAAAACAGGCCTAGTGTTGGACTGAGGAAGTGCTCCTTGGTCCCACCAGCTTCTTACCAGTGATGCTTTTAGATAATTCTAGAAGCAGTTGGATTGCTCCACCAGATGGCTTGGAACAGAAAAGTGCAGGCATGAGAGAAGATGGCAGCATGTCTCACTCAGCTTGGGCTGCCGTAACAAAGAATCACAAGCTGGGTGGCTCAAGCAACAGAAAGTTACTTTCCTACAGTTCTGAAGGCTGGAAGTCCAAGTTCAAGGTTCTGGTGCTAGCTCCCTTCCTGGCTTTTAGACCACCTTTTCACTGTGTCCACCATGGCAGAGAGACAGAGAGAGAGATCTTCCTTGTCTTATAAGGCCATGGTCCTATTGGCTTAAGGCCCCACCCTTATGACCTTGTGTGGTGTTGTGATTTATAATAAAAAATATTTATTTGGTGTTTGTCTGCCATTCCTGGCACAGAGATCCTAAAACTCTTGGGATTTCCTAAGTGATGAGAGCAATAAAGGTATCTTTTTTATGTTAATGAGGTGACCTTTGGAATACACCTAACAGTGGGGGCTGGTTACCAGAGGAACTAACCAGGTGCTTAGAGGGTTAGAACTTTCAATCCCACCCCCTGATCTCCAGGGAAGAGAGAAGGACTGGAAGTTGGATCAATCACCAACTAACTGCCAAAGGTTTAATCATTCTCTCAGCAGGCTGAGAGTGTGACCAACTAGTATAGTATTACTCTGGGTTCCCACTGTTGATGTAGCCAGGCTGAAGAATCACATATTCAATGTTTCTGCTAGTTGAGTTGTCAGGACAGAGTGTCATGTAGTCACTGTTACCAGCAGTTGCACTGTC